TTAAATAGTATTTCATGCTGTAACTGTAGGGCTAATACAATATGTGCCCTATGAACTGCATATATGAATATTATGTAGACCTATTGTTTAAATCAAATTTATGCTTTAAAAGTAGATGAATCATAGCAGTTTTCATCCATAGTCTGTCTGTTTCAACATCTGCATTTAGCTTAAAATGGCTTCTTTGATGACAGTATTCTATAAAAATGATTTACATTCCGATTCTAATATCCCAAAAATATTTTTTCTCTTATTCCATGGATTTTACCCATTACCCATTTCCCTCCACTGCAGCTTGCATTTTTGTCGGATTTCTGCACTTGTTAACCAGAGGGTGAAAAACAATACTAAAATACTAAACAATAAACAACGCTAAAAATCAATAAACCTGGGGCCAGACAAAATAATCACTATGTGTAACTGTCAAGCTGCTGTATTGCTGTGTATAAAATGCACAGAGATGGAATCAACCACAATTGGATAAAAAAATTTACAGGTAACTCTATTCTTAAAACCCGCTCACACCAAGAATCATAACTATATTAGCATACACACCAACAGATGATAACATTATGTTTATTTTAAGTGCAAGCTGCTACTTTAAATGCTCAAGCTCTTTAATATTGGAAGGATTCTGATGAATGTTTTATTGGTTATCAGCTGGAAAAAAAAGTTCTGAAAGAGATCACCACAATTTCACTCCTCTATGCTGTTATCATTATAGTGTGGATTTCACTATTCTCATAGAATTAGCATGATTATTAAAACTTTATTGTTATAGTTATTGTTCTTGGTGTGAAAGGGTCTGTCACTTTAATAAATAATTGGTCAGTTTCATAGCAAAACACCCCAAAGTGCCTCAAATGTCACCATAAAAAAAAAAAAAAAAATGCAGTTTTTACGGGCCACAAAAAAATGAGACCGTGTCAAAATAATATTTTAAATATTAAATTATTTTGTTTAAATTAAATTTTTTTGAATATCTGCTAAAGGCTAGTTTTGTCAACTTACTGTATAAAAGAACACTCAAATCTAATAATACTACATTTATCATATCACAGGGTCTTGAACCATCACCAGAAATTAAGAAAATAAACCGTTTTAGATTGTGAGGAGCCTTTTGCTGAGGGCCAACATTCATAAACTCATTCTGTATAAGGAAGTGGTTCCCAACCTTTTTGTACATTTGACCACTTTAAAGGGGTCATAGGATGCCCACTTTCCACAAGTTGATATTATTCTTTAGGGTCTCAATGAAAAGCCTGTAACATAGTTTGGTTAAAATTTTTCAATGGTAGTGTAAAAAACACCTTTTTTACCGTTAAAAACAGCTCTTTTCAGATCAAGCCGTTTTAGTAGCATTTTCCTTTAAATGGTAATGAGCTATCATTAATAACACCATCATCCCAAACTTCCTCCTACCCAAACTAACTCAGCTCTCCGTGCCCACCTCCGTCTGTCAGTGGATCAACAGCTTCCTGACAGACAGGCAGCAGCTAGTGAGGCTGGGAAAATACACATCCATCACCCGTACGATCAGCACTGGAGCTCCTCAGGGCTGCGTCCTCTCCCCACTGCTCTTCTCCCTGTACACCACCGACTGCACCTCTAAAGACCCCTCTGTCAAGCTCCTGAAGTTTGCAGACGACACCACACTCATCAGCCTCATTCAGGATGGTGACGAGTCTGCTTACAGTCAGGAGGTAAAAGAGCTGGCTGTCTGGTGCAGTCTCAACAACCTGGTGCTCAACATGCTAAAAACTGTGGAGATGACCATGGACTTCAGGAGAAACCCCCCTGCACTCCCCCCACTCACCATCATGGACAGCACTGTGACTGCAGTAGAGTCATTCAGGTTCCTGGGCACCACAATCTCTCAGGACCTGAAGTGGGACACTCACATAGAGTTCTCACATAGAGAATGAACAACATCCATTGTTAAAAAGACCCAGCAGAGGTTATACTTCCTTCGCCAGCTGAAGAAGTTCAACCTGTCACAGGAGCTGCTGAAACAGGTACACACAGTGCCAACACACATTTCAGTTCAAACAACTTGTAAAAGTGCATGTAGCATCCTATGACCCCTTTAAGGAACAAAAGCAAGGTTGCATACAATTTCATCTTGAAAATGACTGATTACTAACTAATAACTAATAACTAATAATGAAATTAATAATGAAAAATAGGCAATAACACTACTCTAATAATCAACTGACATTTATGGGACACCTAACGCTGTTGAAAGGAAAAGGAAAGGATGTAGGTTGAGAACCACTGGTATAGGAAAGTGTTAGTAGTGTGTTTGTACTGACCAGGTTCTCGTTGGTGAGGCGCGTGATCTCGTGCTGTAGACTGGCCTCGATTCGGGCCTCTGGAGGAAGCTGCAGGTTCTGAGCTAACAGCTGCTGCTGACGGTTATTCTCCTCTTTAACACTCTGCAATTCTCCACGCAAAACCTCCACCTCGTTCTCATGAGACCGCCGCTGAGCCTGCAACTGAGACTCCAACAACCTACACAGACAGAGAGAGCAAATAACTAGACAAACAGTTCTTCATTAGAAGAGCTTTTGATTCTGTTTTGAGTTTTCTGTTGTGAAGCGTTAAAGGAACAGTTCATCCAAAGATGAAAATGCTGTCATTATTTACTAACAATCGTCATTTAAAACCTAAATATTGTAAGGACAATTTCCAAAGTTTTTTATGCAGCTTTTCCACACAATGATATTACACCATAAAAATAGAACATGCAATCTGTGTGCTATATTCCAGGTCAGCTTTGACTGAGGATCAAATTGAGATTATGTTGTTATTCACTGTTAATCTAAAATATTGTGCTGATCAGTGTAATTTTAGTATCTTAAAGATATTATTATAGTTTTCATTTTTATTATTTTATTTTATCTTATATTTATATTGTATATTTTAATTTTAGCTTTTTAGTTTTAGTAACTGTGTTGTGTTTCTGTCATTTTTTGTCTTTTTTAATGTCTATATAGTTTTATTTATTTATTTTTATATCAGTTTTAATTATTTTAGTACATCAAGTTAAATTAAAATAAGTAATGTTAAGTAATCTGGAAAAACAAACAAACAAACAAATAAATAAATGTATGTTTAGGTTTTTTATATTTTATTTCAGTGAATACACTGCAAAAAATGCTTTTCTTACTTAGATTTTTTGTCTTGTTTCCAGCCTAAATATCTAAAAATTCTTAAATCAAGAAGGATTTTCTAGACAAGTAAAAATTGTCTTGGTTTCAGAAAAAACAAGTCAAAATTAAGTTAGTTTTTGCTTAGAACAAGCAAAATAATCTGCCAATGTGATAAGCAAAATAATCTGATTTCAAACAGAAAAACAAGATTATTTTGCTTACCCCAAGATTTTCCCTATTTAAGCAGTAGTGTTGATGCAGCCATGTCAGGTAGACGTTGTGTGATTCAGTGCGAAAGCAAAAGCACTTTATTTGGCCTTCCGGAATTAGATGCAATTAGGAATCATTGGTTAAGATTTATTTACAACAGAACAGCACCCAGATGTTCGAATTTGTGCAACGCATTTTAATTTTTTGAACATTAAAGCATGTCAACATATTCTGTTACACCAAATACACAAAATAATGATCTTTAAAATAGCATCATATGACCCCTTTAAAAGGATTGTTCACCCAATTTGGAATATATGTAAAAGTATGCGAGGAACAGAACACAATATTTGAAATGTAACTTAGATTTGAGAGCTACTGTACTGAGAAGGGAACTATTTACAATGGATAATTAACAGTCTAAATCTGTTCATTACATAGATACAATAAACTTAGTTCATACCTTATATATCTTTAAACAGAGTCTCTTTTATCAATTAAAAATTTTGTCCAGCCAGATCCTATTATTTTTTGTACAGAATAAAACACTTCCATGCTAATTTTTGTATGTTTGGATATACTGTAAGCTGAAATGTACAATATGGATGCTCTGTTTGCACATCTTAAAAAGCATTAAAGTAGTTACAAATACTTTTATTTTCTAATAAACATATTTGTATAGTTATGCTTCACTATTATATATTATTGATATACCACAGTTTGAGAACTACTGCTTCAAAACATCTCCTTTGTGTTCCAGTGGACGAAAGAAAGTCTTCTATGATTGGAATGGCACAAAGATGAGTAAATTATGACAGAATTTTCTTTCTTGGGTGAACTATTGTCTGGTTTAGGTAATTAATAATATGGATTATTCTGATTAAATGACATATTTACGAAAAACAAAGAAACGGACAAACAATCAGCTAATTAAAGTATGAAGTAAAACAGCAGAAAGATGAAATGCAAACAGAATAAATGATGAAGATAAAATCATTATGACAAAGACGACTGCAAATGTAGCAAACATTGAAAAATGTAAAAAAGCACTTAGTTTGTCATCTGTTCATTTGCTTTAATTGCTGTAGCTATTTGTCCACTGCATAATGAGTAATAAACTGCATCTAAAGCAGTCAGCCAGAAGCCATGTGTAGGTTCATTCGTCCAACACACTGAGTCACATGACCAAGCGTTGTTGTCGCAGCCTTTTAAAAACTGCAAAGCCATCACCTAAAGTAATCTAATAGACTGAATTTGTTGTTCTGCATCTATTTGGCAGGGTCAATAAAGCCAAACCCTCATTACTCTTGCCCAAATTTTTGAGAAGGCGGCATGGCATAATCTCAGCCTCAGACACTTGCCCACAGACCACCATAGTACTGACAATCTGATGCATAATGCACACAAAACTGTAAAATGTATTTATTTTTTTACTTTTGGACGGACAAAATATCTGATCAAAATGACACCACACAATGCGATTTTGTGGGCTTGTTCTGTAGAATTGTTTGCAAAAATTGCTGCACTGTTATATTGCCATGCTATAGACCAATTTCAGCGTTTGCAAACAGAGATGACGTTTTTTGTGGGCAGAGCCTATCTGGTGGCAGAAAATGCCAGTTTTAACGTAGCAGTCTATGCAAGCCATGGAATAAAAAAGGACATTTTGAGTTTATATTTCAAAAGATTATAACTGGTAATTCTGGTAAGAAAAATCAACTCGTCATTCTCTTTTTCCCTCGGCTCAGAATCATGAGTTTATAATCCCACACTTCTGGCTTTTTTTCCTCAGAATTGACAAACTCGCAATTGTTGAGTTTAATTAAGTTATAAAGTTCGAACTAGGCGATAAACTTGCATTTGCAAGAAAAAAAAGGCAGAATTGTGAGTTAAAATAGGTAAATGTTATGTAAAATGTTATATGTTTAAATAGTATTTCATGCTTTAACTGTAGGGCTAATACAATATGTCCCCTATGTGAATATTATATAGACCTATTGTTTAAATCTAATTTATGCTTTAAAGTAGGGTAATCATAGCAGGTTTAATCCATAGTCTGTCGGTTTAAACATCTGCGTTTAGCTTCAAATGGCATCTTTGACGACAGTATTATATACAATTATTTGCATTCCGATTCTGACATCCAAAGGCACAACAATACGTTTTTCTCTTATTCCGTGGATTTTACCCGCTTCCCTTCACTTGTTCCCAGTGTTTTTCTCCCACCACAATGCGCGCGCAGCTGCATGTGACGTAACTGTGACTCCAAATTGGTCTATAATCGATTTCAAATAAGCTTTCCTCTAAAACATCTTCCTGACTAAGAGGGTGGTGCCTGGCAATAATAAGCTGCAAAGTGGACCAGACTTTATGCTGATAGCCAAAGGTCTGGCTATGTGAGATAATTCCTTCATATTAGAGTTAATGCCTGGAATTGGACTTTGTTTTATGTTTTCTTGTCTATGTATGGGCTCTGGAATGAGGCTGATTCGCTGCTCTGCTCTGAGCTGCACACACATGCAGTGAGAGCGGCCCATCATGCCCGTCCATCTGTTACCTCAACCTGCTCACAAGCTCGTTCACTTCAGTCGGTCTGCGTGTAAACCTGGGTGATCTGCGCAGGACAGAGATGAGCCATCAACAGACAGACAGACACAGACAGACAGAGGGCTGATCCAAACAGGTAGGTAAGGTAGGGTAAACACACAGGCTTGTGAAAGGATTGTGAGAGTGATAAGTCATAATTTCCTTGGTTGGAGATAGATGTGACACTACTGGGTCTGTGCGAGAAACTGCAAAGAATTTAACCAGCAGCAAATATAGAACAGAGGTTGTCAAACAGAGAGGCATTATTCTGCATTACCATATTTTATATCCTTTAACACAACCCATTATCTAAACATAACTACTATAACAACTACCTTACTTACTTTCAATAAGCAACAACTTAGTAGTTTACTGAGGGAAAACTCTAATTAATAGTTAATAGTGAATGTGTGTTCCCTATGTGATACTGAAGTTCTTTCACTTTTCAATTATTAGACCATTATTACATAGTTATGTAATATTCTCTACCATTCAAAGGTTTAGGGTCAGTAAGGTTTTCTCTCTCTTTTATGTATTTATTTATTTTTATTTAAAAAAAAGAAGAAGAAGAAATTAATACTTTTATTCAAAAAAATTTATTTTACCAGAACTTTTCAAAGAATTAAAACAATATGTGACCCTGGACCACAAAACCAGTCATAAGGGTCAATTTTGTGAAATTGAGATTTATACATAATCTGAAATCTGTATAAATAAGCCTTCCATTGATGTATGGCTTGTTAGGATAGGATAGTATTTGGCCGAGATACAACAATTTGAAAATCTGGAATCTGAGGGTGCAAAAAAAACAAAACAATTTCCTTTACATTTTTCTTATCTTACTCACCCCAAACTTCTGAAAGGTAGTGTATAAAACATTTCAAGATTGAATTTCTAACACAAATACATTGTGACATATGAGAAGCATTAGCTTTCTGGGGGATGCAAGTTTAAGAACCTCTGTTGTAAAAAAGATGGGGGACAGAGGACATCAGACAACATATGCAGTATGAGTAGATCCCAGATGAGGGACACATTCAGTAGATTCAGCAATGGATTTCCTGTTTTGTGATACAGCATGTGATTGACTGACAGTGAAAGAAATGTAAAGAAAAGTAATGTACCTGTTGGTCTCTTTAAGGCCCATGTAGGCCTGGGAGATCTCCTTTGCATCAGTCAGCTTCTGCACATCCTCAATGTACGGTAAAGGCTCAGTCATGGTCGCCTAAACACACGCAGGAGGTTCACATTCACAAGTTACAAATCACCGCATCCATCGACTAACTTTGACTTTTATAATACATTTAAGCATCAGGCACAACACAAGACCTGGTTCTAGTATAGCACTTCACTTCATTGTCAATTAATAAAAGTAAAATTGGAATTTTGTTAAAGAAAATTGGTCGTGCATTAAAACTGTAAAGTTAACATTAGCACACATACATGACAACAGATGACATGCTTTATACTATTTTAAATTGAAGGATTAGTTCACTTCCAGAATAAAGATTTCCTGATAATTCACTCACCCCCATCACCTCCTCCTTCCGCACCTCCAGCTCCTCGTTGGAGGCGTTCAGCTGATCCAGCAGGACCGTGTACGCAGGAGAACCCGGAGCGGCAGAACCGGCCTCAGCGCTGCCTCTCAGAGACTGACGCATCTCATTCAAATCATGTTTGAGCTTCTTGTTCTCTGACTCCAACTCCTGACGCTGAATACACAAGAGAGAGAGATTTATATATGGCTTTATTTTCCTCATCATTTATCTAGCTTTATGGTAGAAGGCCAACTTCTAGGTGTTTCAACACCTGTGAGCTTGGAGAGAGTTCAGTGAGTTTCATGAAGAATTTTGCAAGCAAAAAAGCAGCCACTGCTTTTCAATTAACTCAATCAATTCTAAAGACTGCAAACTGAAGTGGTTTGCCACAATGCAGGAAAAAAAGAAAAGAAATAGAAGACAGTGTGTGTGTTTACCTTGAGAGATTCATATTCCAGCTCAGCACTACGAGCTTTCTTATGTTCCTCATCATCCTGGTCAATAAAAAAAACACATTATCAGTAACACAGTATATATATATATTTATATATATATAATATATATAAGTTTAATAAGTATAATACTTTTTTTGGTACATTTCTGGCATTCACCTCGCATTAATTTTTTTTTTTATAAAATTGTGTCTAGAATTTAAGTAAATATGAGAAAATCTCTATTTAGGATGTCCTTAAAAAAATCTATATTCTTTTAGTATTTGGGTTATGGAGAGTCATTATATTTAACTTCAAATAAAAACAGATTGTACATCCTCATTTAAAAAGTAAATACTGTAAATGTAAATGTGTGTGTGTGTGTGTGTGTGTACCCTAGCTCTAGCCCGCTGAAACTGCTCTTCTCTCCGATCGAGTTCGTTCTGTAGTGACTGTTTTTCTTGCTCTAGCTCGGAAACTCTCTTCTGCAGCTTTAGGAACAAGGACATATCCAGTATCGCCTTGGAAACGTCCTAAAGATCGAATAAAACACATCCCATAATTGCACATGCAATCTATATGCTATTTTATGTTACTTTTATTTGTATGATCTTTGAAAAAGCCAAACTCAAAGAAGTGGAATTTTAATTCTATCATAAACATAGACACAGTATAATGTGAATGATCTTAATGATATTCCACATTCTAATCTCACCTCCCCTCCGCGGGTCCCTTCCTCGGACTCGGCATACTCTGAATTGTAGGTATATTCTGATTCGTTGCTGCTGTGTGTGGAGTCTGTGCGTCTGTGACCAGGTTTTGGAACATTCTAGAAAAAAAAGATACACTAGTTGAGTAGTCATTCAGAAAACCCACCGATTAGTTGAAAGCACTGAAGATTGGCAATCCCTAAATAAGTGTGTACTCACTACAGCAAGTGTGATCTCCTCTTTCAAATCGTCGTATTTCTCCTCTAGTCGGAGGTGTTCGGTAAGAAGGTTCTGGTAGCGAGAACGTTCCTCGTTTAAATCGTTTTCTAACTGCTGAGTTTCCTCCTTCAGAGCCCTCTGCATTTTCTCTGCAAAACACACATACAGGTGCATCTCAATAAATTAGAATGTCGTGGAAAAGTTCATTTATTTCAGTAATTCAACTCAAATTGTGAAACTCTTGTATTAAATAAATTCAGTGCACACAGACTGAAGTAGTTTAAGTCTTTGGTTCTTTTAATTGTGATGATTTTGGCTCACATTTAACAGAAACCCACCAATTCACTATCTCAACAAATTAGAATATGGTGACATGCCAATCAGCTAATCAACTCAAAACACCGGCAAAGGTTTCCTGAGCCTTCAAAATGGTCTCTCGGTTTGGTTCACTAGGCTACACAATCATGGGGAAGACTGCTGATCTGACAGTTGTCCAGAAGACAATAATTGACACCCTTCACAAGGAGGGTAAGCCACAAACATTCATTGCCAAAGAAGCTGGCTGTTCACAGAGTGCTGTATCCAAGCATGTTAACAGAAAGTTCAACCGAGAAAGTTCTCTCGGTTGAAAGTCTCAACCGAGAGAACCGCAGCCTTATGAGGATTGTCAAACAAAATCGATTGGGGTGCAATGTCATCTGCTGGTGTTGGTCCATTTTGTTTTTTGAAAACCAACGTCACTGCACCTGTTTACCAAGAAATTTTGGAGCACTTCATGCTGCTTTCTGCTGACCAGCTTTTTGAAGATGTTGATTTCATTTTCCAGCAGGATTTGGCACCTGCTCACACTGCCAAAAGCACCAAAAGTTGGTTAAATGACCATGGTGTTGGTATGCTTGACTGGCCAGCAAACTCACCAGACCTGAACCCCATAGAGAATCTATGGGGTATTGTCAAGAGGAAAATGAGAAACAAGAGACCAAAAAATGCAGATGAGCTGAAGGCCACTGTCAAAGAAACCTGGGCTTCATACCACCTCAGCAGTGCCACAAACTGATCACCTCCATGCCACGCCGAATTGAGGCAGTAATTAAAGCAAAAGGAGCCCCTACCAAGTATTGAGTACATGTACAGTAAATGAACATACTTTCCAGAAGGCCAAAAATTCACTAAAAATGTTTTTTTTATTGGTCTTATGAAGTATTATAATTTGTTGAGATAGTGAATTGGTGGATTTTTGTTAAATGTGAGCCAAAATCATTACAATTAAAACAACCAAAGACTTAAACTACTTCAGTCTGTGTGCATTGAATTTTTTTCACAATTTGAGTTGAATTACTGAAAAAAATGAACTTTTCCACGACATTCTAATTTATTGAGATGCACCTGTATATATTATATGTACACCACTGACACACATTCCCACAGACCAGTCAACCAATATTGAATTATTACTCAATCATCTAAAGGATTTGGATTTGTTTTTTGGTTTTAAGATCTGAGTAAATCTAGGAATAGTCAGAATAGCATCAGACTGGGCAGTATATTAATGGGCAATATATTCCACTGTTGTTTTAATATTATTAACACATAAAAAAAAAACTCTAAGCCTAATAGAACGACAGAGGTTTTTGCACAGTTTTTCTTTACCTGTCCACTGCTGGCTCTGTTCTTGGATCAGTCGGTTCAGGTCGTTTTTCTCGTTCTTCAGCAGGTGGTTTTGCTCCTTTAGTTCTGAGATCATCTGTTACAAACATTTCACAAACATAATCATTATGACATCTTAATCTTTAATGGTTATATTCAAAAAATAAACTACACTGTTTATGTCACAGATGCTTGTATTGACCCAGGAACATTGTTTTAACTGCTGAGAAATACTTATTTATTCAACACACACCCAGTACTTTGTTTATTGTGGCTTCGTGAATCGTTCTAGTCCTCTACCACCCTAAAACTACAACTAGTTCTAACATTTAAGCTGAGCTCTAGTCTCTATCTCTCTCACCTGTGTCAATGAACAGATCTCTTCTCTTTCCAGGTTTAAGGCAGTGTGCAGGTCTCTCTAATCCCTGAATATGGAGACACAGAGTATATCTGTGTCTTTAGAGGGCTTGACAATCTAGGAGGACTGTCTAAAAGCAAGGGAGTGAAGGTAACCTATGGGTCTAACTTTACTTTTTTGGGGGACCTGCTGTGGAAATTTGCTAATGTATGCCACATGATTAGTGAGGTTTTGTATGAACACTCAACACACATATCAAAAACACACTTACTGTTTATAAATGATTCATTTATATATGAGTCGTACACTAATAATTTGGAAAGTAAGACATTTTTTAACAGGCTATTAGAAATCATTCTGTTATGTTCAAAGATTTTGCACATTAGTATGGGAGAACTTTGGAGCATCAGAACCATGAAAATGTAATTAATCACTTTTTTGACTCAGTCGATATGAGCCATTCAAATGAACTGATCAATTAAACACTACTTAGTAATGAATCAGTTTTATGAGTCAGTCCACTGAAATGAACCATTCAAATGAACCCTCTTTAAAGGAACACCAATGGGAGATGACTCAAATGCATCAGTGAATCAGTTCCCTGTCCAAATTAATTGCCTTCTAAGGAACATAACTGGGTGATGACTCATTAAAATAAATAAGTCTGTTCATTTTTATAGTTTTTTTCAATGACACAAACAAACTGATTCGTGAATCACCCTCAACTTTTTGTAAAGTGCTTTGTGAAGCCCGCACCAGTGCAGGCACATCACATCTGCACACAACTACATATCTGAACTAACAGCACCTTTTCCATCTCGTCCTGGTAGGTTTGTGCCCAGTCCTCGATTGCTTTCTTCTCCTTCCGTGTGTTCTGCAGGTCTTTGCGCAGTCGCTCCAGCTCTTCCAGAAGAGATGTAACTTTGTTGGCATTGTTTTTGGCGTCCTCTTCTGCCCCTCGCAGACGTGTCAATTCTACACGCAGACGCTCAGACTCTGCAGCATGGCTGACCTCTAGACTGTTCAAACGCTCGCTGATAACACGGTTCTCCTTGTTCTAGAGTGCAAGCAAAACAGAACATCAATTAATTGTATTTAACCCTACAAATCCTAGGGCATCATACTGTATTTGATACCTCAGTTACTAAGGCCTATAAATGATCAACAGGATCAAAACCTTCTGCACTCTGATTGACAGTTCATTCTTTTTAGTATGTAAAAAGTCATTTTATAGTTAACTAGTAACTAGTCTGCTATACAATAATCTCATTGATTTACTTTACAAGCAATCAGCAATTCATCTTACTTTTTGGCCATATACATAAAAGCATCTGACCAAATTGCATATTTTGCCCAGTTTGGGCCTTTAAATAAAATTGTGTTTAAAACACATTAATAAAAATAAATTAAAAAAGTGTTTTTTTCCTCCTCATGTGTGAGCTATATGTTCTCACTATATTATACTATGCAAGCCATAAAAGCCTGATGTATAAAAACATAAAACGCATATGCAAATACAAAACAAAATGTTTTTTCAATGTATAAATAAAATAAATATACAATATGTATATAAAGGATTATTCTTGGGAATTTGAGCAATTTTACTTGAACTTGAGTTCTTGAACTGATGGTAAAACTAATGACATTATTTACTGTCTTTACATTTATTTTGAAAGATGAAGCTCGCGATTATGGTAAGGGGCGTTACATTTCCGACGAGTGCTTACGGTGTTCGGCCAATCACAATGCACTGGGTCAGCTGGCCAATCAGAGCAGACTGCGCTTGTCGGAAGGAGGGACTTTGTAGAAAACTAAGTGTTTGAGAGAGGCGGGGCATAGAGGACCTACAATAATGTACAGTATTTAAAAAATAATGTGTTTTTTGAACATTAAAGCATGTCAACATATTCTGTTACACCAAATACACAAAATAATGATCTTTAAAAAAGCATCATATGACCCCTTTAAATATTTCTTTCTCAGTTTTATTTGTTGTTTTGCATTTTTCGAAATCCCAAAAGCATGTTTCTTTTAAGTTTAAAATACAATTTTGAATCCAGTGCCCAAATAAAATTATTTTTCAATGTGGATTCAGATGTTTGAACCCCACTGTACAACACCTTTGAATTTACATTGCACCTACATACTGTAACAATTACACTTTGTCTTTAAAATCAAGTATTATACCGACAGCTACATACATATACACAAAGATTCTGCACAGGGAAGCCAAGGTCTAGATGATGTGATCATGTCCTGCTAACAGATTCTGACTCATTCTAAAGGAACTAAAACAACAAGAATCAAGTTAACACTGCGTGCTTTCAACCTGTTTCTCTTCCATAACCTGATGTCTTTTCGACTGAATAATGATATTCAATGAAAAAACAAGGGTGGGATTTGACTGTGAAAAATAGTATTGACATGACAGCTGGCTGGATGGAAGGACTAAGATGGAATCAGCCAGAAAGAAAATTAGTTTCATAGGCAGAGCAAGCTACATTTTATGAACCATAATGAACACTAACTTTTTTTGGAATAATGAATTGTGCACAAGAAGACCAGTAACGACCATAATGATTTCATCCTGACTGGTCTTTTTAAATGAGGCACAACAAGCCACAGCATCTTAGTGCGAAGTGTGGTACCTGGTCGTCCACCCTGCGCTGCAGTTGCATGATCTTGTTCTCCATGCCGATGTTGAGTTTCTTGAAGTGTTCCACCGAACGTGCTTCGATCTTGAGCTTCTTGAGTTCTCGCTTGGCTCGCATGCGGCGGACGCAACACTGCAGGTAAACGATGGCTTCGAGCGTCCGCTTGAACCACTGCCGCGCCAACCAGCCTCGGACCATCTTCTGAATGATGATGGCCTTGTGCTCACGCAGAAGCTAAACAAACACACAATAACACATGATGAACAGGAAAAAAACAAAACAAATACACACAAGAGTTAAGAAGAATGCAATGCAAAGTAGAGATCAGTCCAGTGAGTGTTCTCAAATCGCTTTTTTCTCTCACACCTTCTGCCTTTTTAATTTGCAGATATTACACATCCTGCCTCGATAATCCACTGCTGATCAACAGAGCCCTGACGGCAGGAAAAGAGAGGAGAGAGAGACTGTAAGAGTAATAATACAGCCGCAGCTGCTGTGGTCCGTCAGTGGGACAGTCCCTACACTGGAACAGCCTGCTCCTTGGCTAACTGCACCTTTAACACCATTCAGTTCTCTAGGGGTGCAGTTAGCAGCTTTCACTGGTCATGTGTCTCATGCCTGAAATAATTCACTTGTTTCCAGTGTGTTAATTATAAACCACACCGCCAGCATCATATTTTACTCTGATGTATATCAATATGTAACCCGTGTCAGTGTTTGTTTAAATGTTAAGATCAGAACTAAATTGGAAATACAAAAAAAGATGCATGCAAAAATGCAGTAATGAGACCAGTAAAGCGGTGTGTTTGTGATTTGTGTGTTTGTGACTGCTACAAATATATTTATAAATGTGAGAAGAGTGTATTAGTATGTCTGGTTTCCTCCTCACCGCTTTGTACAGCTGTCTGGCCATATACGCCCTGAGGATGCACTGCATGACCAGAGCGGCAGCCTGCTTGCGTTTGTAACATGTTCTCTGGACATACATGCGCTGGTACTTCTGAATGATGATCGCAGCACGTGTGCGACGCAGGAATTTTGCAAGACTGTGGGGAAGTAAGAACAACTCCGAGGTTACTACTGTACTTGTGCACCTTCTCACTTAAAAACAGTGCAAAAGTTTGGTTCCGGAAATAAAAATCCCTTTAAGTTTCTCAGCAGGGAAATGGATTTTTAACAATAACTTACAAACCCTGAAAAAGGTGGATATATATACTGTGTGAGCTCCAAGGTTAACATTATTTCAACCGGTTTGTCAAAAGAATCATGTCTAACAGAGTAATTCTTGGTCAAAATCTACATTCCCAAGATTCTGCAAAACTACATTACCCACAATTCCACCATTTAGAGATATGCGATGAGCAAATAGTGCCAAAAGAAAGTCCAGCTACTTTAATATTTGTGAATATGCATATTTTGCAAAACTCTAACAATACATTGTTTCTATTTAAATACTCGACATCTCCCATTTTGGTGCTGTTTGGTTTGGTTTGAAGCTTATAACGCTTTAAACAAAGACTTTTTGTAAATCTCTATTGGAAAAACGAAAGAAAAAAAACTTCAGACCAACTCTGTGAAAAAAGTGGGCAGGCAATGTTGTTCGCTGTAAGCTTATTTTGATTTGTTGAATTTTTCATAACCGTAGCCAGGCCCCACCCACTATGGGATTAGTCCCCTCCCCCTCACCAGCGGGCCTGGTATCCACGGACATATCTCTGGATGGTTGTGGCAGCATGTTTCATGCGCAGGTACTTCTTGCGTGCCAGCCAGCAGCGGATGGTCTTCTGGATGCGGATGCAGGCAGCACGCAGCTTATCTGCACGCAGTTTCTCCAGATACGCAACCTGCCCTGCGCGAAAAAAGATCTTGGTCTTGCCAAATTGGTACTTATCTGGATCCTATTAGGAGGACAAAAAAGTAGAGAGAGAATTCATTTATCATCATTCATCAGTCAAACTTTACTTTCAGCAAATTTTCTACAGAAAATGTGAGTAGTGCCAAATTCTGGCATTCTGCTGCTTGCTACGTTTCTGAGTAGTTTTAGTTTAAGAGCCTATTATATTATGGTCTTTGCACAAAGTCTATCCAGAGTACCAGTATGATTTCATGAGATGACTTAATTGGCTTGTTGTACCTGCACCAGTTTCTCCAGAACATTCTTACAGGTCATCTTCTTGTCTGTCAAAACATCTTTTTGTTTCATCAGGACACGATACCTGCTAAAGAACTCCTGATACGTCCACCTGACAAGCAAAAGCAATCACACAAACACAAATATACAGTCAGGTAGTGTTTGACAAAAGGGAGTGCAGTATGGCAATGTAAAGAACTCCACTGTACCTAGATGGGAAACCAGCTGCAGAAATCCGGATTGTTTCCAAAACTCCACATGCACGCAGTTGCTGCACTGCTCTCTTGGGGTCAAACCTGGTAATGACAGAAATCAGATATCAGCCTAGCAACACTGTGTTCCTAAAAGCTCACCATCAATTCTGCAAAGGCCACTGTTATAAAATAGTTCAAAACAGAGTCAACTGAGACACATGAAAGTATGAAATTAAGAGATTCGATTTGTGAAGAGAACTGCACACTTTGGTGTTGCCTATAATTCTGTAATTCCATTATAGTGATTAGTGTTATAGCTGTGGTGTGGACTCTGCTAATCTTTAATATTGACAATGATTTTTAGAACTATATCTTTATCATTATCTTTATAGTTATCGTCCTTGTTGTGAACGGGCCTTAAAACAATATATTTACCAAGGTTACTCTTGTTAGTTAAAACTGAAACCATTAAAAAAATCATTACTTGAAATAACTTCATCAAAATACTTATACTAACCTAAGTAATAAAATAATTCATGTACAGCATGAGCAATACTACTGCTAGTGGTGCAGGTGTCACACAAATTACTCACCACAGCTTTAATATATGTAAAACAATTGTCATGTAAAATGCCAGATGAAGTTGATCGAAATCTATTTTAGGTCAAATTGTTTCTGTAATGAATGTGAAACATATTTTTATGACTCATTAGCTAAGCTACATGCTGATGGTAGATTCAACTGAGAATTAATCAAGTTGTTACTGTTCATGGTGCGTGCTTAAAATTGTCTGTTAAAGTACTCATATTTTGGGGGTCTGCTAAAAATTCATGTTTTTAAAATTCCCATAAGTTACATTGCTGCAGCACCTTATTTGCCCTCTGCCTGAAGCGCTCTGTTTAAGTTCCCATCTCTTTTAAAGCTCGCTTTCTGATAAGCCCAGTGGCCTGTTGAATGTCTGTAACTACAGCATCTTTATTGGAAGTTCATATAATGTTTTTTTTTTTGCTACGTCTCCTTGACATAGCGAAATCACTTACCCAACTATTCTTTGAGGGCAGGCCTAATCTACATATTAGAAAACTGACAATTAAAAAAGATCAGCGAATCTCAACTTGTGAGCACAGCATGTGTATGCTTAGAGAGAGAGAGAGAGAGAGAGAGAGATGCACAGATAGTTCAATTAAAAACAGTAGAAGAACTGACGTGAAGGCATATTTGTAATCGTTGGGTTTTATGCAGCGAACGTAATGTGGTGTAGTCGCATTCAGTGTCTCCATCAGCAGCTGCAGAGAGTTACGGAACTACAAAGAGAGAGAGAGAAATGGACACATTCATTTAAATTAGTCTCTTTTTAATCTCATCCATTGTCGGTGCTTATCAATTTACTTAACCCAAAAATAAAAATCATAAAGATATTCAGTAAAAGTGAAAATAAGTTAAGACGAGAGCAGTCTTCCACCTGCAGTCCGACTGTCTTCTTGTGTTCTTTGCTGGCTTGGCCAGCTTTGTTCTTGTTTGGTTTGACACTGAGGCGAGTGCGTCCTCCAGTAGCAAGAGCAGCACCGGTCGGACTTGTGGCTTTCTCTTCATCCTGGAACAGCTCTACCAGCAGGTCAAACTGAGAATTACAGCCAAGGCAGACTTAACATACAAGCCACAACAGGTGTTCAGATCAGATGATCAATCAGAGGAACTTTTTGACTTAGAAATGAAGCAAGGACTAACTAAAAAAAAAACTGTCATTAGTTATTCAAAACATAATTAAACTCAATGTTATTTTACTTAAGCTACAATTAAATCCAGTTGTCACTACGGTTCTGAGTTCTTAAGCTTGTTCTATTCACCGTTTAGTTGTTTACGTTAATGGCAACTGCATTTTACTACAGCTATAAGCCCAAAAATCCATGGTTTACAGTGGGAACTTTCTTGCTCTCTCCCAAAACTCCTGATCATGCAAATTCCTGTTAGAATAACTGCATTTCACCCACGAAAATGCACAGAGCAATGGTAAATGTGACTGTGACTGAAATACCCTTAGCTTTCTAAAAACTCTGTAAATTATGGCTTCGCAGGACTGCTTTTATAAAATGGCCGTTAACTACAAATTTTTATCAAATAAATGCACAAACACAGTAATAATGATGTAATGATGTCACAGGTATGTGTTTATAGAGTATTTTACAACGGCTTTGAATGCAGCTGAGCCAGGATTTCACTCCTGAAAAATTCAGGTAGTTGCAATTGAATTCTCAACCGAACTGTGTTAAACGGTTAGCATTCATGCTTTTGTACAGGCATGCGACACTGGAGCATTTATCACTTCCAAAACTTAACAAGGTTTTGTGGCCTTTGTTACCTGAACTAAATGTTTGCACTCAAAGTACCACTTTTAATCCAGATTAACCACATAGAAAACAACACTAAGCAATTCTGTCATAATTTAGAAGTATGCACATCAAGACAAGCAAATGGTATAAAGTGGGATAGTAACGAACAGAAAAGGCCATGTACTCAGAAAACGTCCCTGGAGTCTCGTTTACATTGATTGCCAAGAGTTTGAGCACTGAGGGACGCTAGCGCTGGTACTACGCAGCATGCAGCCTAAGCATAAAATAAGAGTCTTTATGGGACCAACAATTTAAACATCAAATCCCAACTCACAGCAAACAAACAAACACATTTTGGTCTATGTGTAGTACATGTCGATGTCTTCAGCTGTTGCATTTTTAGGAACAGTTCACCCAAAAAATGAAAATTCTGTCATTATTTATCGTCCATTGTTCTAAACTTAAATGTTGTCATTTTTCAGTGTTTCCCATTAATTACCTAAATTTCTAAATCCTAAAATATACTCTTCTCAAGATTTCCAACATTGTGTTTTGCGCCATTTCTTTGGCAAAGCATCTGTCAATCAAACTAAAAGCCTGTCATTTAATTAAATAAGTGCTGTAATGCTTGTGGCAGAGTGTTCAAGTTTATTTCACATTTGGGAATGCAACATGCCACAGCGTTATTTTCACATTTGCATAATTTCCAACATTTTGTGGACAGATGATTACAACCTAATTTTACAGAAACAGCCTTTTTCAAAAAATAAAAGACAGAGGGTTTAACAATTGCAAGTGAAGAAATTAAGTATTCTAATTTTACTACTGTAAGTAAAATAATAATTATACTTACTAGATTTATAATGAAATGCATTTGTAAACCTGTTTTCACAGAAACAGCCAACCAAAACAGAAGCTTGAGGATTTAAATTTTCCAAGAAATATTTATTTTTCATTCACATTATTTTACAGTGCAGTATTAAATGGTAATATATTACTGCCTTAGGTCTAATAATAATAATGAAGCTCTATGAGCTCTTAATTTTGCTCTCGAAGTGTGCCATTTATCCTTAAAAAAAGAACAAAATGTATTTCCTATTGGGACCAATATTCACCTTACATATTCTAACAAAACAGTTTTATTTATTTTTTTACAAACCTGTTTTTGATTTGAAAGTTGCAGTGGAGCGAAAGACTTTTAGCAAATAATGACAGAATATTTATTTCTTGGTGAACTGTCCCTTTAAGAGTATAAAATAAGTACTAAAAGGACAAACAGTCCAGCTGATGTCAAACAGATGTTTCATGTTATTGGGGTGGTTGAGTTTGTTTGGATGGTGTTTGGAGGCTCTAGAGTTGAAGCGGGATTTATTTTCCTATAGAGTCAATGCAGTGCTGAGATTGTGTCCTGCACAGCAGAAAGCAACAGACTGAACATGCTTACACACACACACACACACACACCTCTCTCATACACACACACATCCAACCCAACATGCATCCAATATTAATTTTCGTATAGCAGGACTGCAGTGATTTTGGAGAGAGAGAGAGAGCTAAAGAGACAGAGCTAAATTTTACCTTCTGCAGGGGTACAGGTTGTCATGTTCACAAACAACACATAGACAACATGACACAATGATGAGAAAATAGAAACAGAATTAACAAATGCAGAAAATACAGATACATCAGACCGATGTATATAATGTACTAGCTGAACAGCAAAGCAGCTCAGACACCAGCTCTAAAGCATATTGTTATGTAGGCTCCTATTTAATAAACTAGATTTAGCTTGTTTTCTAAATTCCTAACTGAGACTGAACGGTCTAAACAGAATTCCTCTTCGGCTATGTCCACATTAATCCAATTCTATTCAAAAATGGCATATTCATTTCAAACCGCTCACAAAACGTCATAACCACTCACTGAGATGATACTGACAAAACAAACATAATAAAGTTCTCACACTATTCTTCTTGTATGACCAGTTTATTAGTGAAATATCCCACCACTCAAAATCAAGATTCCATGTATTTTCTAAAACACAACTGTCATCCTCTTTTGCAGCAAGTCAGCAATTGCGATTAAATATTCCATCATCTTTGCAGTAAAGCAATATGAAGATTGTACAAAGTAACTTAAGCAACATTATTAAAGAGGTATGATGCTATTTGCACAAAGAGATACTACATACTAAAATAAAAGGAAAACATTAAAAAGCATTGCATGGCCTTTTTAAACTGAATAGCAGGCACAACAATGCACTAGTTATATTGTATATACTCATAATTTTCAAACATGTTTTGAAACATATACACTTGGGAAAGCACCTAAACAAAATTTTTTGCATGTTAGCATGGGCAAAAGGACAAAAACGAGATGCATTTTCAAATCTATCTGCATTAATGTGGACAAAGCCTTAGAGTGAAGCTTAAAAAGTTGATAAAGGCCAAATAAATGATGAAGAAACATTGAAAAGCTTCTGAATTTTGAAAAAAAAAAGGATTTTTAGCTGGTGCCTGGCTTTATTTCTAATTCCTATGAAAACATAAATGGGTACATGATAGATGGTAAGCAAATACACGCATGATGATATGAACAGACGTAATGATCAATGATATGAATGTAAATCAAAATGAATATGGTAAAACCAGCTGACCTGTGGAACAAGTGAAGGATTTGGATTAATTCCTAACAGACTGATCTGGATAAGCACCAGAGAGCCTAGCCTATTACTAATATGAATTGTTAATAACTTTTTAAATAATAGTTGACTTGACTCAGTTTGAGGCATTATTATTATTATTCCCAGGCAGTTTGGATTAGTACAGCATGAGTTTGCTCTTACCACACACATTTACTGCCTCACGCTGAGGAGACAAAGCATTAGAGAGCATTCAGAAACCCCCAAATACAGAAGAAAATGATTTTACAAGAACCAAAATGCACTTAAAGTCCACTCACATTTTCTGAATCATCTGAGTGAATATAAGTATTGGATTCTGATCATTTTAGTTAATTAATTTCCATGTCTTTGTGTTTGTTTATGAGCTATTTTTATTTTATTTTAAAGCAATTTTTCAGAGATTTTATTTTTAAATATATTGAGCATAACTTGGGGAAAAAAAAGGTTAAAAAACCATAGCGCAATGGTATTCTTGGATATACATTGGAGTACCAAGAAAATACCATGGCAAATAAATACTGAAATAATTTAATGCCATGATTTATATCAAAATGCTATGATATTACAATTCGATATCTTCAGTGCAACCCATTATGTGGCCATAAGTTGTGAAAGGTTGAGAAACTTTGATCTATGGAGGCTTTCATTCAGCGTACCTTTGTGCCCGTGTCTCGATTATAAAATATGTTTGAATACCTTCCTGAAAAATCCACAAAACACACCCCTGACCCTGAAGGCACAGCTGATGGCATGATGATTGATTTCATAACAGGTAGGGTATGCAGTGGCGTTCTGTCTGAACCTGCCTCATTAACACAGAGCACAGAGCTGCTGGGTCATGCTAATGCTCTATGCTAGAGCTTCAAAACAGCTCTGATCTATAGATACTGGGACTCAAGATTGCAGTGAACTAAGACAGGACAAGGATATGTAAGAATCCAAACAACTAGAAATATGAACATATGCTCCCATGAGTTTTGCACATATCATGTTGGAACTGTGGCAATGGACCACACTAATGCTCCTTGACCAGCAGATGGCATCCTTCCATTGACCTTCTCAGACTTTAAGCCTCATTTAAGGTCAAAGATCTTGGACGAAAATACCCTGGCTACAGCTATCACTGAAGATTGGTTATGTTTTGTGCCAGTTTAGCCTGACTTATTTAAGGTGTTAAGGGCATTATCTTTCTGTGAGACATCAGACTGACAGATATTCACTCACCTTACTGGCCTTCAGAACATGTATCTGCTCCTCATTCACTGTGTCTTTATTCTTCTCCAGAAAACCATCACACTGATACTCCACCTGACAGACACAGACAGACATGTGAGGTTATCCTATAAGAAAGAAAACCCATGAACGAGGATCTGAATAGATATAAACTCAGAACATATCAGTCGCTTCCCCCCCTCAGAATTGGAATTCATAACTTGCAATCACAAGTTTATATCTCACAATTTTGAGAAAAAAAGTCAGAATAACGAGTTTTCATCTTGCAATTTTTACTTTATTTCTCGCAATTGCAAGTTTACATCCCACTATTCTGATAACTCGCAATTTCGAGTTTAAATCTCACAATTCGGAGAAAAAAGTGAGAATTGTGAGTTTGTATTACGCAATTCTTAAAAAAAAGTCCGAATTGTGAGATTAAAAAGTCGCAACTACCTTTTTAATTAATTTTTTATTCAATGGCAAAAATGGCCTTCCATAGTAATTACATGGAAAGCAAACAATAATAATAATAAAAAAATACTACTCCATTCTTCTTAACTTTTGGTCAAGTCTTTATATTGTAAAATTTGAGAAAAACTTTACAATAAGGTTTCATACATACTGTTATTTTAGTATTATTGAGGTACGATTTAGTTATTCCACATAAATAAAAATTAACAATAATGCAGTTTACAGCATTTGTTAACCTATGTTAATGTTAACTTCTACATATATCAATGCAATTTTACATTCTAAGTATAGGCATGAATAAAACATTAACATTGTTAAATCACCAATACTTTCTTATTTTTATGGAATGTTGTAGTGTTTTTATAAATTATTAATTTGTGTAAATCATTATATATATTTTAAACATATGCAATAATATGGTAAAAAGATTATCACAACTTAAATTTTATGCCAACTTAAATGCTGCAAAAAATCAAAATCATGATATTGTACCTGATTAACCAACTTTAATCAATTGAATTTTACTGTTAAGTGTTGCCAAGGTGTGTGTGTGTGTGTGTGTGTGTGTGTGTGTGCGCATACCTTATCTGCAAAGTGCTGAATAATGAAAGCTTTATTGGACATCCGTGGTTTTTCAAAAAGTGCACACGTCTTCAAATGAGTGTTATACAGTTTCTGAGCCCAGGAGTCATCAGAGCCCTTCGGCATCTAAGAGAAAGAGACAGAGACGGAGTACAGTATATGAAGTAAGAACAGTAGTCTCAAATAGGATTATGCAATTGCAATTACAATTACACAACACTGTATTTGTTTGTTTGTTTTTACAGTAATGTACACTACCATTTAGAAGTTTGGGGTCAGTATGTTTTTCTTAAAGAAATTATTAGCATATTAAAATGCTCTTCTTTGCCCCAATGGAAAGCATATTTACTAGAGCCCGATCGATATGGGTTTTTTGGGGCCGATACCGATATTAGGGAGTAAAAAAGGCCGATATCGATATATCGGCCGATATTCTTTGTGTATATTATAGTACAGTACCAGTCAAAAGTTTGGACACTTTCCCATTCGTGTGTCCACACATTTGACTGGTACTATATATAGAATACAGTATATACATAAACAGAATGTATATACATAAACATTAAAATGTGGTGATCAAACACACACAGAGATAGGTAATGGAGGCAGGGCATTTAACAATTTAACAATAAACTTTATTATCCAAAATGAGTCTGACATCAGTGCACTGAACAGTAAAGTTGAAGTTTATTCAACTTTAATTCAATTCAATTCCATTCAACTTTATTCCGTTAAAGTTTATTTCACTTCAAAACATTCACTCACGAATTTGCGCTACTGTCTTCACACACAGACGAAACTTACTAGAGAAGTGTGACATAATATACCTCTGTAAATAAAAACAATATAAATTCACGTCTCGTGCACTTTAATCCCCTTTGAATGTAACGTGTACGTTCCCTTGGAACTGGAATCATGGTGGAATTTCATGTGAAGTCCACTTTGCAGGGCACTTACGGTCGAATAAGACAATGCTTGAATGCTGCTGCCTGAACAAGTCCTTACTGAAGTGAAAGTGTTGACTGGTGTCACTATCTCGCGAACGCGTCGGCGGATCTCCACCAAATTCGGGGGATCCCTTCAGCTCGAGGAGCCCTCTCGAACGCCACACTCCACGCGTCAGTAGCCCCCTGGGATCGCTTTAACGGTCGGCGCCTGTCCGCGAATTTAACCACCCATAATTCCCGAACCCCAGGGGCTATCGACGCGGGGGTGGTCTCATTCAAAAGGGGGTCTCTAGACGTACACTCGATTCGCGTTCAAGAGGGTTCCTCGAGCTGAAGGGATCCCCCGAATTTGGTGCGGATTTGCCGCGCCGTTACAGAGATATGGCCATTCAAAGTTTCAATGGTTTTCCATAGACTTATGCTTTAAAGCGTTTCATCCAGGTCGCCAGTAGCAAACAATGGAGTGTGCTCTGCTGGACAAATTAAGTAATTACACCATTTCAAGCAGTTTATCTGCGTTATATGTTCTATATGTATATATCCGCCGATACCGATATATCGGCAACAGGCTTATATCGGCCGATAATATCGGCAAAACGATATATCGGTCGGGCTCTAATATTTACACTGTCTGAACCCCCTATATAGTGCACTATGTGCCATTCACCATATAGAAAATATTAATTCTGTGAACAAGAGACTGATTTCAGTCACAGGTCTATTTATAGTGTAGGGGGTGGAACGCTTCAGATTCTAGGGAACATTTGATTGGATAGAAAATCTGATGTCATCAAAATCGTTCATCCATATCGGCAGAAGTGAGAGACTGTAAGTTTTGAATGCTTATATCTTCTAACCGCAAATTTAACCTTGAGGCTAACATATACTAAAATCTTAAATTTTGATTTTATGGGGACTTTAAATGGCAAGGCACTTTGACAATTTAAAAGCAGAAATGTAAAGTTTGTTTGTCTGTTAAAGCGCTTCTATAAATTCTTCAGTAAAAAAATATGTAAAGATTTGTAAATCATTATGCATGCAATCAAATACCTGGTTTATCGGAATTACATGGTTATGACAGAAATACTGGATTTAACTTAGCAAAGACCAGGTTAATAAGTGATTTTTTGATGCTAGTCTCATGTTTAACTTATTTAAGTGTAAATATTGTGCTTATTTTAACATATATATCCATACATTTTTCACAAACATGCATTTATTAAAATCTCATCATTTTGCATTGAAAAAAAATCTGTGAATGTTGTTATATTTAATTGATTGTTAAATTTGTATTTCCAAATTGTCACATATCTGTGCAAAAGGCTATGTAGAGTAAGACAATAACATTGTGAAGATATACCTTGCACTCTTCATCCAGCAGGTCCAGGATGCCCATCTTAATCAAAATCATGATATTGTACCTGATTAACCAACTTTAATCAATTGAATTTTACTGTTAAGTGTTGCCAAGATTTATTAATACTTTTGTAACCCGTTTTATTTCAGAACAAACATCTGAGATCAATTAGTCATTGTACTTAAATAAATTATAGCCAAGAGCTCCATTAACCTCCCTGTTTTCCACTGGGCATAAATGATGTTACATTATGTATTCTATTAAATTTATATGATTTAGACTTTCATTTATATTAGTAATGCTGATTAGAGACTGAAGATATTTAACCCTGAGGATGTTTGAGAAAGCACCTACTAATGCTCAAACCCTGATTCGACAATGTGTGTTTACTGAATGTCTATCACATACTCTAAATGTGTCTCATTACCCACACCCCCTTCTCCATCAGTGCTTCCTCACAGATATTGAACACCGTTTCTAAAAACAGAACTGTAGCCATCATAAGCTCATGTGAGGATGTATGCAGCAGTTGCTGTGTCATACAAATAGTGCACACAGGAGACTCAACTTCTGGTGTTAGCATGTTGCTAAGCTAACAAACTTATACTCTAACGCATTTTTTAGAAATATTTTATAATCTATTAGTATTTATCGTCTTTAAATGGTAGGCCTGTTTCACATATAATACATCAGTGGCCCATCTGACAAGAGCTTATGCAGAGTTAAAAGTACAAACTTAAATATTGTGATCTATTTTATATGAGGTGGATAACATGTATATTCAAATGGTAATCATTCTCCAGATGAACTGCATAACTCACCTGGATTCAGTGAGATTTACTGAACAGGAAGCATTTGTCTACCTGTTACTGTGCATGAATTTTGACAATGCATGAGTAAACTGCTCCACGATCATATATTGCTTTATATTACTAAAAAGATTGTTTTGATAAATAGTTTTAAAGAGTGTCAGTATTTCCTGCCGAGTTCAGCTTGTGTCACACAGCAAAAATAAGCTCAACACCAAAACATAACTCTGAGTGTCACATCTAGGACACTTCTGGGACACTTGTGCAAGCAGTGAATGCTGTTAATCTGCTAATATGTTGAAATGATTATGCACCGTTTAGATGCAGTAAGTGTGAGGCAGCTCATTTGTCTTTGTTTAGACATTGATATATGAAATGACACACACTGTGTATATCACAGTTGATCAGAAATGCTGAACCAGCCCGAGCGTGAGGTGTGTGTGTGTGTGTGTGTGTGTGTGTGTGTGTGTGCGCATACCTTATCTGCAAAGTGCTGAATAATGAAAGCTTTATTGGACATCCGTGGTTTTTCAAAAAGTGCACACGTCTTCAAATGAGTGTTATACAGTTTCTGAGCCCAGGAGTCATCAGAGCCCTTCGGCATCTAAGAGAAAGAGACAGAGACGGAGTACAGTATATGAAGTAAGAACAGTAGTCTCAAATAGGATTATGCAATTGCAATTACAATTACACAACACTGTATTTGTTTGTTTGTTTTTACAGTAATGTACACTACCATTTAGAAGTTTGGGGTCAGTATGTTTTTCTTAAAGAAATTATTAGCATATTAAAATGCTCTTCTTTGCCCCAATGGAAAGCATATTTACTAGAGCCCGATCGATATGGGTTTTTTGGGGCCGATACCGATATTAGGGAGTAAAAAAGGCCGATATCGATATATCGGCCGATATTCTTTGTGTATATTATAGTACAGTACCAGTCAAAAGTTTGGACACTTTCCCATTCGTGTGTCCACACATTTGACTGGTACTATATATAGAATACAGTATATACATAAACAGAATGTATATACATAAACATTAAAATGTGGTGATCAAACACACACAGAGATAGGTAATGGAGGCAGGGCATTTAACAATTTAACAATAAACTTTATTATCCAAAATGAGTCTGACATCAGTGCACTGAACAGTAAAGTTGAAGTTTATTCAACTTTAATTCAATTCAATTCCATTCAACTTTATTCCGTTAAAGTTTATTTCACTTCAAAACATTCACTCACGAATTTGCGCTACTGTCTTCACACACAGACGAAACTTACTAGAGAAGTGTGACATAATATACCTCTGTAAATAAAAACAATATAAATTCACGTCTCGTGCACTTTAATCCCCTTTGAATGTAACGTGTACGTTCCCTTGGAACTGGAATCATGGTGGAATTTCATGTGAAGTCCACTTTGCAGGGCACTTACGGTCGAATAAGACAATGCTTGAATGCTGCTGCCTGAACAAGTCCTTACTGAAGTGAAAGTGTTGACTGGTGTCACTATCTCGCGAACGCGTCGGCGGATCTCCACCAAATTCGGGGGATCCCTTCAGCTCGAGGAGCCCTCTCGAACGCCACACTCCACGCGTCAGTAGCCCCCTGGGATCGCTTTAACGGTCGGCGCCTGTCCGCGAATTTAACCACCCGTAATTCCCGAACCCCAGGGGCTATCGACGCGGGGGTGGTCTCATTCAAAAGGGGGTCTCTAGACGTACACTCGATTCGCGTTCAAGAGGGTTCCTCGAGCTGAAGGGATCCCCCGAATTTGGTGCGGATTTGCCGCGCCGTTACAGAGATATGGCCATTCAAAGTTTCAATGGTTTTCCATAGACTTATGCTTTAAAGCGTTTCATCCAGGTCGCCAGTAGCAAACAATGGAGTGTGCTCTGCTGGACAAATTAAGTAATTACACCATTTCAAGCAGTTTATCTGCGTTATATGTTCTATATGTATATATCCGCCGATACCGATATATCGGCAACAGGCTTATATCGGCCGATAATATCGGCAAAACGATATATCGGTCGGGCTCTAATATTTACACTGTCTGAACCCCCTATATAGTGCACTATGTGCCATTCACCATATAGAAAATATTAATTCTGTGAACAAGAGACTGATTTCAGTCACAGGTCTATTTATAGTGTAGGGGGTGGAACGCTTCAGATTCTAGGGAACATTTGATTGGATAGAAAATCTGATGTCATCAAAATCGTTCATCCATATCGGCAGAAGTGAGAGACTGTAAGTTTTGAATGCTTATATCTTCTAACCGCAAATTTAACCTTGAGGCTAACATATACTAAAATCTTAAATTTTGATTTTATGGGGACTTTAAATGGCAAGGCACTTTGACAATTTAAAAGCAGAAATGTAAAGTTTGTTTGTCTGTTAAAGCGCTTCTATAAATTCTTCAGTAAAAAAATATGTAAAGATTTGTAAATCATTATGCATGCAATCAAATACCTGGTTTATCGGAATTACATGGTTATGACAGAAATACTGGATTTAACTTAGCAAAGACCAGGTTAATAAGTGATTTTTTGATGCTAGTCTCATGTTTAACTTATTTAAGTGTAAATATTGTGCTTATTTTAACATATATATCCATACATTTTTCACAAACATGCATTTATTAAAATCTCATCATTTTGCATTGAAAAAAAATCTGTGAATGTTGTTATATTTAATTGATTGTTAAATTTGTATTTCCAAATTGTCACATATCTGTGCAAAAGGCTATGTAGAGTAAGACAATAACATTGTGAAGATATACCTTGCACTCTTCATCCAGCAGGTCCAGGATGCCCATCTTGGCCTCGATGAGGTTGATACATGGCTGATTATCATAGAAATCAATGAGAGTCCAGGGGATCTGCTCTTTCATATACTCCTCCTGCTCCAACTTAAACACATGCTGCATGCGAGAAGACAGGAGAAAAGAAGATACATCACAATTTACTATCAGAATTCATATTGATCAACAGTCAAACATGAACTGACGAGATCTGGTGTCATGTGGAGTGGGTCAGATGGTCTCACCATGTTGAACTGTTGCTGTAGTTTCTCATTGGCATAATTAATACAGAACTGTTCAAAACTGTTGATTTCAAAAGTCTCAAACCTGGAATAATAAAACAAAACATCACAATTCACTTCTGTAAATCGAAACTGAAGATCTTTCAGAGGAAATGTAGTCTGTATCTGTGCATATGAACACACCCGTAAATGTCTAGGACTCCAATGAACGAGTGCTGTTTGCCCGTAGAATGCAGTGCTTTATTCACATGGTCCACGATCCAGTTGAAGAGTTTGGCATAGATGTGTTTAGCGAGAGCATCGCGGGCGTTTATGGCCTGTAGTTTGGGAATGGGTTTAATGTACGTCTCAGTTGCCGTCTTCAGCTTCTTATGACACAGCCAATGAGACATGTCTTGATATGTCACTCCCATCAATTCACAAAACACACTCAGGTGACCATTATTCGGCTGGAGGGAAAAGATAAAGAGAATTACATCATTGCTACATGTTAAAATTGGAGGCTCTGGGGTATTTGGGTACAAATGTAATAAATTGTCAAAGTTAAATTCAAGTTTTAAATAAACCACAGTGTTGTAGCAAAAATGTAAACCGTATTATCGCACTATATATAAAGTTGGATATACATTATCTCCAATTTCATCTGCATACATACACATAAATCAATATATACTATACAGCAAGTCTGCTTGATTAATTTTTTTAATTTGCAAGATCTAACTATGCTATTGACCAGCTCTTTATATATATATATATATATATATATATATATATATAAAGAGCTTTATATGTATGTATATATAATATATACATATATATATATATTAGTGCTGTCAAACGATTAATCGCGATTAATCACATTAATCTGTGTGTACTGTTTATATTTATTATGCATGTATACACATGCATGTATACATTTAAGAAAAATATGTTTTATTTGTATATTAAATATATTTATATATAATATTAATTATATAAATATAAATAAACACATGTAAATATTTTAAATATATATACTGTATGTGTCTGTATTTATTTATATATAATAAATATACACAGTACACACACATATACTACATAAACAAAAAACTTTATTTTGGATGCGATTAATTGGGATTAATCATTTGACAGCACTAATATATATATATACTGCTTCAAAGCTTGTATCTTCGCAAAATGTCAATTATTTTATTGCCTAGCTGTAATTTGCTAAATGTGACTATAAAGGGCTTTTCACACTGAACGCGAAAATCGGCGCAATGGCGCTTTTGAATCGAAACAAAATGACAAAATTCGCGGCGCGAAAAAGCAAAGATTTTTTTTTCCGTACGGTTTTCCCCATTTGTTCCCCCATCGCTCTGCGATGAAACGGCCCGTCCAATCAGATTTGAGCTTAGATCACGTGCCCGGAGCAGCTGCTCTTGCACAAAAGGGTGAGAATGGTGGCGCTGTTTCGAAAACCATTGTAAACAAACACCGAAGAAGAGTATCCAAGCAGGTAGCGTTCAGTCTATTATAAAACATACAAAGAGTGCATGTCTGCCTATTATAGAATCAAAATCCATTTAAGATCACAATCGGAAGTTATTACAAGCACTCAATGATGGTTTAAAATGGGGTTTGAGCAAAAACATTAATAGTTACATACGTTTTGAAATTAAGCTTGATGCTATTTGTACCTCTAATTATATTTTCAGATCTATTCTTGTAAGCATTATGGATAGTTTGTGTTTGTAATGAAGAACCAAAAGTTATTTATCTTAATTTAATGCTGTATATTGAGCAGTGAACAATGCAGAAGCCATATACGAGATACATAGGCTACATGAGGAAAAAATGCATTGTTGGTCTGCGCCACCTAGCGTGCAGGCGTGAATTAGCAGAAGGCGATCAATCGCGATCAATCGTGTGAATGCAACGTTCGACGGCGATTCGCCTCATATTTTCGCATCGCGCTCAGTGTGAAACGGCCTTAACTCGTGAAGATATTGAGATCTTATGAACATTAACATCACGATTTTCTGGAAAACAGCTTTGTAACAATGAATATTAAAAAAGGTGCTATACAAATAAATTTGATTAGAACATTTTTTTTATTTTGTTTTTGTCATAAAATGCATAGAGTGACACAGTAGCATTGCACTTCAAGACATTTATTCAGTTATTTGGTTAATATTTTCACCATGTAACAATAGAACCACAAAACCAGTCATAAGGGTCCATTTTTTTAAATTGAGATTTGTACATCATTGATGTATGGTTTGTTGGGATAGGACAATATTTGGCAGAGATACAACTATTTGAAAATCTGGAATCTGAGGGTGCAAAAAAAATCTAAATATTGAGAAAATATCCTTTAAAGTTGTCCAAATGAAGCTTAGCAATGCATATTATTAATAAAAAAATTAAGTTTTGATATATTTACGGTAGAAAATTTACAAAATATCTTCAAGGAACATGATCTTTACTTAACATCCTAATGATTTTTGGCATAAAAGAAAAATCGATAATTTTAACCCATACAATGTATTTTTGGCTTATGACTTATGACTGGTTTTGTGCTCCAGGGTCACACACATATTTGAACTTTAAAGTCAACATGAAACTCACTAGAATAATACTGCTGTCCGAGTCTCTATCCTTCACTTCCACATTCCCCAGGTGCAAAATTGAAGCCAGAATCTGAAACAAGCCCAGCTGATAGGACTCATTTACACCTGAAGAGACACATCAACAAATTACCAATATGAAAAATCAAGAAACCAGCTCAATTTGTGTTTGTTTATAATCAACATCATTCTGAGCTTGCATTGTGGACTGTCTAATCCGAGATCAGGGGCTTCATGCACCTAGTTTTTAAAATATAAAATAAAAATAACTATTTGTTATTGTTTATAATAATACAGTTTTCACTGTAATAATTACCACAATGTCTTCTGACCCAATTATATACTTATGAATCATGAACAGAAGCAAGAATGTACATGATTAATTTATATTTACTGTCGCTATTCCAGAATATTACGAATATTAGGCCGATAAATCCTGCCATACATTTTGTAGCTTATTGAAACACATGAATTTAAGGCATCTGCACTGTAAATGTAAGGTTAAAACACCTTATTTCTGCATTTGGAAGAGCATTTTGCAACACATTCTCTAGCACATGTAATTTTCACAAAATGCGTTGTGTTTTGTAAAATTTATAGTAAAAGTTGGGTTTGATTCCTCCAACCACCCACATGCAAAAATGTTTTTGTGTTTGTTTGTTTTTTCCTACAGTAATCTTGGAACTTGATTATCAAGTGTAATATATCTTTTGTCATTTTCATTCAAAATCCATGTGCAGATAATAAAAATACATTTAAAATTAAAATAAACCGATTTTAGACAGTACTGACTAAAAATTAATCTAAGTCTAATATTAGATACTGTCATTTAATCTCTATCTAAATCTAAACTGGTTATTTTGCGCATTAAACTCTCCACTACATGAGAAATCGTTGAACTTTCAGTCTGACCTAGCAGTGTGAAGGCGTTTCTGGTGGTCGACATCTCCTTGGCATCATCTACTCCATCTATCACTGGGTTCCTGCCCTGTTTGGTGTAGTGAAAATCATCAGCCTTTCCTGTGGGGGAACACACACACACACACATTTATTACACCACGCAAATACACAACCAGCAGACCTTCTCAAGGATCTATTACAAAGAACAATATGTTCATCAATTAAGCTATAATTGTGCAAGAAACTCCCCAACCATTAATGAACAGGAACTTAGTCATTAGTACTAAGCAAATCTGCATTAATAAAAATGTCTAATTCACAGACAAATCCTAAAATACAAAACCCTGTTCATAGATTAAACGAACGATACACTGTTGCTTGGCAACAGAGACCTTATTGAGATACACACTCACACACAAACCCTCACATTAATGGGGCGTCAGCTGAGTAGGAAGTCGGCTGAGTAGGCAAACAGCATGTGAGGAGATTCCCCCCTTCTATATAAAGTGCTTTGAGTGCCCAGAAAAGCACTATATAAATGTAAAGAATTATTATTAGTAGTAGATAGCTACAGTATTCATATGTGGTCGTTTATGTTTGTGTGTGTTTGCATAGCATGTGTGTGTATTTAGAACTGCACAGCCCGCCTCTCAGTAGGACAGCTCTGATAGCCGTTCTCCATGCTGTGCCAACACAAAGACACGTTACCCACAAACACACACGTTTACTAGGGCCCTATGAAATTCTCTTACTTAGAGTAATTCTCTTTACTTTTAAAGTCTTACTTTTTTATTTTTATTCAGTTTTTTCCATTTTCATTTTTCTGGATTCTATTAAATACAATTTTTGTCAAAAGCATGTCTAATTAATGGAACCTATACAAATTTAACAGCAACTCATTAAAAATTAAACAAAAAAATTATTTTTATTTTAAATTTCTTTCCAATTCTGTTTAATTTTTCCCAATTTCCCAAATATTTTATTGTTTTTTTGTTGTTGTTCTGAATAGTTATGTTATTTTTTCATACATTGTTTTCATTTTTATGGATTTATGACTAAGAACTTTGTCCCCGACCTTCTTTTCTCTGTAAATTAAGGGTGCACACTATTGCTGAAAAATACAATCACTACTTAGCAGTCAGATGTCCGTATGCACAAAGGCACAGATCCCTAAACAAGACCATATCTGCAGATTTAACTTTTTTTTTGGTAGAAGCATTTTTTAAATTTGAACTAGCACCTCATGACTACACCACGTTATGTACGAGAAGCTGCAAAAGACACAGACACAAGTGGAATGTACAAAACATGGTGACATTAATTTTTAAGTAAATATAATGGGCGATATATTGGTCATGTAATTATATTGCGAGATAAGTCGATATATTGATTATTGCGACAGGCCTAACTTATATCTGAATCGGCCGATAATGGTTTAAATGTAAATATCGGCATTGGCCCGATATGAAAAATTATGCCGATATGTCTTATCGATAAGAGGAATACGTTAACTCACATGTTCTCAGGGAGTGCTAGTGATTAGATCACGTCAGCATTGGGGGTCATTCTTGAAGCAAAGTTTTGTCTGAATGATGATTAGTTTGACTGTTTTGGGTCACTGCATTTAATCTGTGAAAGCACGTACAGATTGAAGCATTTGGTGTATGATAGAGTAAACAGTAATAGCACTTGCAGTGGCAGCAGCAACAGCCTCCCGCAGGTCCTAACGCACATTCGGTAAGGAGTTTTAATCTGTAGGGAGCGCTGTTGGCCTACTTCTAATTAAATTAAAAGTAAAATAGCCTACACAAATAACATTTAGACTGTGTTTCTGATTTTAAAAAAGCAGTAATTGATGTCATAAAATAATGAGTATGTTTTGATTTAAAGGTCAGAAACTATAGCTTACATGAAAAAAAAAAATCACAAACATGACACTTGTAAATGAAATAATTTTTTATATACCGATTTATTCATTAATGTGTAATATGTTTTATTTTTTAAACAAATCATAAGCTCAAAGATTTTCTGAATTTTTACACCTATTTTGCTTTAGACCATCTACAAATGTTAAATCTTAAAATAAAATGTTAGGGTTAACTGCATCTTTCTGGGGGGAAAAATTCAGCGATTGATATATAGTTTATTTATAGTTATGTTCAAAGCTTCAATGTACTGTCAAAAACCTTCATTATTGTTTATTTAATTCTAACAAATACGTTTAAAAAAAAATATATATATATTTTGCTTATAATTTCTGCACAGGAGAGACTTGGTGTTGTTTCCAAACAAAAGGAAATATATCGGTATAGCCCTAAATGAGTTGAAAAATATCGGCATATCGGATATCGGCAAAAATCCAATATCGTACTTCCCTAAAATATTATATTATTTCCTTCACAATTCCTTCAGTTCAACCAAACTTTTATTTTGATGGGCTGTCGTGAACTTTGAATTTCTGTGTGTATTTAATAACAAGATATTTAAATGCTATTGAATTATTTAAATTGTACAACCTTACTTTTGATTTATTCATTCAATATTTGCCAAATTCTGTGACATTCTGCAATTTACTGTTAATTCTATTTTTATGACTGGATTCTGCTATCCAGCTTTCTCCGCATCGCAGAAATCATAGGGCACTAAGGTTTAGTTATCTATTGTATTTAAATGGGGACATGCCATAGACTTTATTCTCAAATATTTTTGTTTAAATAAAACTAATTATTACTATAGTCCAGGGGTGGCGAACGTTGGTCCTGGACAGTCCCGCAGACTTATAAAAAAACAATATATATATATATATTTATAACTTGCGCTTCCTTGGGAAGATTACGGTGTATGCGCTCAGAGACGGAACACAACACGGACATGTAAAGTCATCTTTTAGCACCTAAACGGTCAAAAACACGCAAAAATGTGTCAAAATGCAGGGATTAGTGATTATTCACGTTAATCATTGTCGGTTATGTAATAAATGAACGTAAAGAGTTGAGAATGAAAATACTTGTGTAACAATAAATTGGATCCGTGTGGCTCTTAAAGTGACAGCGGGCTATATTCCTACTGCCGAGTGTGTGCTTAACATTAATCAAACAACAAAAGACAAATTCAAAATCACTCACTGCCACTGTTGCTAACTTCTTTCAATGGAAAGTAGCTAAAGCCAGTTTGAAAAGTCGCTAAATGTCGCTAGATGACGTGATACACTAATTAGCATATTCATGATGTCATCGCGTTGTATTGCCTTTTACATTTGTTTGTTACTCTCTGTGCTCGCATACTGTATTTTAATTTAGCCAAATTCTCAATAAAACGGTTTTCATTTATATAATTTACTGTTTCTGTTGTCAGTCAACAGAATAAATATGAAACAGAGAGAGAGAGAGAGAGAGAGAGAGAGAGAGAGGTGTGAAACGCTGTGTAATCGCTGTGAAAGCAAGATCTCGCGCTCGTGCGGCAGTACCAGTGAGTCAAAGAGACTCACTAAGGTTTGTCCAAGAAGTCGCTAGATTTGTCGCTAGTCGCTTTTTTGAGAAAAAGTCGCTGGGGGGTATGAAAAGTCGCTAAACCTTATTTACAGAAAATATATATTTGATATATATCACTATATTTAAATAAATCTTTCATATAAAGTTTTGGTCATATGGCCCACTAATAATCGTTTTAAATAATTGTGATTACAATATTGACCAAAATAATCGCGATTATGATTTTAGAGAGAGAGAGAGAGAGGTGTGAAACGCTGTGTAATCGCTGTGAAAGCAAGATCTCGCGCTCGTGCGGCAGTACCAGTGAGTCAAAGAGACTCACTAAGGTTTGTCCAAGAAGTCGCTAGATTTGTTGCTAGTCGCTTTTTTGAGAAAAAGTCGCTGGGGGGTATGAAAAGTCGCTAAACCTTATTTACAGAAAATATATATTTCATATATATCACTATATTTAAATAAATCTTTCATATAAAGTTTTGGTCATATGGCCCACTAATAATCGTTTTAAATAATTGTGATTACAATATTGACCAAAATAATCGCGATTATGATTTTTGTCATAATCGAGCAGCCCTAGTACTGAAGTCATACAATTGTTTTGAAAACCTTACATTGTATCCCTTAAAACTCATTTTTGCTATGTACATTCCTAGTGCCTGAAGACACATCACGCAAAGTTTGATGATCCATGATCCCACACACTAGAGCTGAGTTGACCGTATTGGTTTCTCAATTTTAATCAATTCTCATTTTGATGAACGGATACTGATCATGACTCCCATCCAATAAATTGCAATAAGCTTTGTTCTTTGTTACTTTTGATATGAAACAAAGACTCAGCTTTCAAACTTTTTCAATTTCATAACAAATTCTAACAATAAACACCTTCAAACAACAAATTCCGCAGACAGATCACTGTAGTTCAAGTGAATCAGAATCAGTATGAGCTTTATTGCCAGATATGTTTACACATATGAGGAATTTGTTTTAGTGACAGAAGCTCCACAGCGCAACAGAATGTCAGTGACAAGACAGGACGCAGATAATAAAAATAATAATATACAAATATACAAAATAGACAATGTATAAAATAGCAAAAACACAATATATAATATAGACAATTATGTATGTACAGGTATGATATGTGCAAATTTGAAATGTAAATAAGTATGTGTGTTAAATACATAATGTATAATAGTGTTGTGTGTTCCACGTTTATTGTTAAAGGGTTAGTTCAATAAACACAACGTCTTCCGTCATTTTGGAGAGTACCCAGAAGTGTAATCGATGCAATCAACATTGTTTACGTTCGGAGGAGACATCGCGCGTATGAACGTAATCTGCGTAATCAGCGTTGTTTATGCTTAGGGGAAAGCGTGCGTATGTGTTGTGATACTCTAAAATGGCGGAAGATGTAACTCGGGGGAGAAGAATTGCTGAATAAATTTATTTTTATATTTATTTATAAATGTTAATTTTGTTTTCTTTGCGCTCAAAAAGTAGTCTCGTAGCTTGAGCCACTGTCACATGGACTGTTTTACCGATGTCCTTACTACGTTTCTGGACATGCAAAGCATGCAATGACTGTGGCAACTTTAAAGGGGTCATATGATGTTGCTAAAAAGAACATTATTTTGTGTATTTGGTGTAATGAAATGTGTTTATACGGTTTAAGGTTCAAAAAACACATTATTTTCCACATACTGTACATTATTGTTTCTCCTCTATGCCCTGCCTTTCTGAAACGCATCGATTTTTACAAAGCTCATCGGTCTGAAAAGCAAGGTGTGCTGTGATTGGCCAGCTATCCAGTGCGTTATGATTGGCCGAATATTCGTTGCATCCAGTGGGGACATAATTATGGATTATAATGACTTATACTGTCTTTTTACGCGTTGCGTTGCATCGCGCCGCGTAAACATAAAACCATGTCTGCATTTGTAATCAGAGAAATGACAAAAAACAAGCCCTACTAAGGAGGGCAACCACATGTGACGACCCCGAGCTAGACTCCGCTTCGTCCACGGTGAAAGCTGATCCGGCGATCCACAGCGCTAAGTTGTTGTATTTCCTCAGCAACCAGCACGGATCAGCTCCAGGCATGACGAAGCAGATATCGTCCTCTTTTGGAAGGCCAAACAAAGTAGTTTCACTTTCACAACAAAACATACAGCGCCTTCACGACATGGCGGCGGCAGCAACAATACTACAGCGAGAATAAAAGTTTCGCCTTCTTTCTTTGCGTGAACATTTGGGCGGCGTTATGCAAATCTTCCCAGATAGTGACATAGGCATGTGGGGGCGTGTTAGAACGAGCCGTTTTAGGTAGGTGTGGCTTTTATAGTGAATATAGTGAACTTTTATAATGAATATCTCTTTGGATTTGAGGAAAAATTTAAATCACATCATATGACCCCTTTAACATTTGAAAGGATACTATGGCAAAGTTATTGGTTTCCTTATTCAAACAGATTTTTTTTTCATGAATATATGGTTGACCTGAAGAATGAAAGCTATAGCATACACTTGGAAAATTCCTGCTTCACTGCTCACTGCTTATCAACACTTGGGGTGTGACAATACACTTAGCTCATGAGTTGAGACAAAACACAGATACTTGGTTCACTAGAACGAGACAATATTTTAATGTTATTTTTAAGAAATTTTCAATAAAATATTTGTCTTTTAATTACAAAAAGTAAAACAATACAGTTGTATTTTGAAATATTTTAACTAATCTAGGGCTGTAACTAATGATTATTTTGGCAATAGAGTAATCTGATATTTTTTAGTAACACAAACAGACCTAAGTGAAAACCAGGCTTTAGTATGACTATTTATAAATAAACTAACGATGAGGCAATAATAATTGGCTCAAATAAAGTATCAAAACCAAGTAATTACATGGTTTTATTGAACAACACTGTTAAAACACAATGTAATATGCCTACATAATATGAACATAACCAACTTAAGTACATTATGTAATATAATAAATACCTGCAGAGGGTGCCAACAGCCTGGTGACGTTTCACTTTACAGTGTGATTTAACGATGTTTAAATCCATTAAAGGGGTCATATGATGTTCCTAAAAAGAACATTATTTTGTGTGTTTGGTGTAATGAAATGTGTTTATGCAGTTTAAGGTTAAAAAAACATGCAAACACATTATTTTCAACATACTGTACATTACTGTTTCTCCTCTATGCCCCGCCTTTCTGAAACGCGTCGATTTTTACAAAGCTCATCAGTCTGAAAAGCGAGGTGCGCTCTGAGTGGCCAGCTATCCAGTCCATTGTGATTGGCCAAATACCTCAAGCGTGTGACGGAAATGTTACGCCCCTTGCCATACTGTGATGCCCTGTCCGGCTGGAGCGACGAGACAAAAATATTAAAACCCATTATAAACGAGGCATTTGTTGCATCCAGTGGGGACATAATTACAGATTATAATGACATATACTGTCTTTTTACACGTTGCATTGTGGATTAACATAAAACCATGTTTGCATTTGTGATCGGAGAAATCAACAAGTGCTACTCTACACTGCTCAAAACTCGCGTTTGAATCGTCAGTGGCAAATTCTTTAATATTAAAAAACGTACTTACAGTCTGTGAGTCAGAACAGCCGGCATTGTAGTCTACTCTACCAGGATCAGGAAACAGTCCTCCATAAAATGTGCTGCACACATCTGAATATTTGGGTTGAACTGTTCTGGAACAGTGTTGTAAATACAACTTAACCACTGATTTCTAGTCGTGCCCTCTTTTGGAAGGCCAAACAAAGTAGTTTCGCTTTCACAACGAAACACACTGCGTCACATACGGCGGGTTTGAGTGAGCGGAGGCGGGCGGGCTTGAGTGAGGAACGGCCAGGCTAGTAATGCTAGTTTGGTTGAGAGTGAAAGCTGTGCATGTGCTCCTTGCATAACATTGATAGGTGAACTCATGGACTCTAAAGTGATATCAACAAGTTTCTTTTAAATGTAGGATTATTTTTTACGCAGCCAAATGCTGCACGCCGGAGATCTGGCACGGTGCCAGAGAACTTTAAGCTCTGGCCGCTGCTCCGCCAACTACAACGCTCAGCAAAATGTCAGAATAATCTAAATTCGGTGTGTTCTGACGAATGTTCAGCAGTTCATCCCTGGTAAAACTGATCATGTTTGAGAAACAAAAAAACAGGAAAAACTAACAAAAACAGTACAAACACTGGAGAGCCAAGCACTGAGGCGGCCATCTGCGGCGCCATCTTATTGACAGCTGACAGCACAGAACATGCACAAACCATTCATCTCTTTTGCTTTACTACTAGCTACATCACAAAATAAACATGAATGAACATCAGAAGGTCAAAAGATATGGTACAACTTACTGAAATGTACCATGTCTTATATAATCGATCTATCAGTGCTTCAACCATGCTTGTAAACAATGTGACAATGTTACATTTTCCTCAGAAAATACATTCAATATCCAAAGCTTGATAGTTAGCTAGATTTATGGACTATAGAGAGGAGCATTTTGCTACATATTCAACCCTGATCAAACTCACCTACCTGTGATTATCTAATGATCCTGAAGACATTGATTAACATGCTCAGGTGTGTTTGATTAGGGTTAGAGCTAAACTCTGCAGGAAAGTGGACCAGATTTGAGGATCCCTGATTTACAGCAGTATTTGAGAGAGATTTGTAAAATTGTACAGTACCTGATATATCCAAATGAATCAATATAAAATCAAATCTAGATCAGAACTTAATCGAATCGCAAGCTTGTGAATCGGAATTGAATTGTGAAATTTATGTCAATACCCAGTCCCTACCACATGCCATTTGTTCTTACATGTCTCATGACTAATACTTAGACAGAGCTATTGCATGACTTTCAAAGCCCTGTCTTGAATCCGATGTGTTTTGCATACAAAACCTTTTTGGACATATTAAAAACCATTGCAAAGATTTAAAAGTGCACAGTTAATCTTTGGATCACTAAGTGTTTGATAACATCTGGTGGTAATTCTGAAACACAGCAGGCTTTTAGTTTAAGACACAACAGAAGAAACCACACATTCATTCAGTTATCCAGAGGAAAAAAAAACTGGCATGGAAAATCACATATGAGGGCAAAGAGAGAAATCAGCATTTCCATCTGAAAAGCACAAATATTTCCATGGTTCCCACTACCATATTCTAGATTGATTTGTAAACATTCATATATGTGTACCTTTGTTAAATGGATTTGCTTTGCTCTTTTGAAAAGAAAAAGAGCTCTACCATTCATTCAAAATCAAAATCCCCCTCCCCCAGTCTATAAAAAAACATTACAAAAGCAACTGAGAAATTGTCAATACATTAACATTTGACCACCCAAATTTATATATCAATAGTATTTAATTCTGCATTTTATACCAAAGGCAAAGGCACAATACATCATTTAATCAAAAAGGTTAGGCAATCCTGACATAAGTCAAGTTT